ATTTGGACTCTTTGGTGTTTATCAATTTCACATTGTACTTGTGAGATTAGATTTAGAACCGCGAGAGTCCGAACTGTAGGGCTTATATTCGAACTTTCGAAAGGGGGCATGAAAAAGCTGGGCTACAACTGGGCCAAACTGAAGGACTTTGAATCCGCCAAACAGAGCTGACCGAGCTTCTCCATCTTAGTCAAAGTAGTCTTCTGGCAGATCGGGCTGAGCTCACCAAGCTGTGATGGGCCAAGCAAAATTGGGTCGTGGTTGAGGGCAAGGACAAAGCTTGTATGTTTCCAATCGAGCTGATAGCTCAGTTGAGCTCTGGATGGCACCACGGTGCAGGTCTCATGGGTAGTGATGATCACGGTCCTAACCAAGCTATTGCTAGCTCAGCCAAGAGTGTCTCAGTTGAATGCTTCTCGTGCCCTAACGGTTTGTTGGTGACAAACAATGACCTGTCCAAGTTAGTGATATTCCTGACAAATACATGTGCATAAGAGAATAATATAACATAATGTTCTTACCCAAAGACGATGGAGATCATGCGCACTACATGGAAGAATAAGACGAGTTGTTTGTATAGAAGCCCTGGACTTCAGGGTGGAAGGTATGCAATCTAGAATACCCAAAAAATACTCTCTTATTCTCTCTTATTCTTTGAGGGTGCTAACTAGACCATCGAGGGGGTTTTCTGTCAAGACATCTGCCAGTTAGCTCACATCTATTGTGTTTGCAGGAGAAACGACATTGTTAAAGTGAGCAGAATACGAAGGCAATGAGTACAGAAATGAAGATTATTTATATATATATATATATATATATAAAAACTTATACCATATACGGGAAGAGACGTAAATCATTATGAAAATAAAATTATTTTTCGTAATTGAACGGAAATTCAAATTTTCCATTCTACTTTTCCAGTAAACTCTGAAGCACTTTTTCGGATACTGTACGACAGTCTCACTAGATCATACAAGTCAACTCTGCTTTTGCTCTCAACCACTATTTCAAGAAGAGCTTGGCTCCCGTTCATAATCGGATGGAAAAGTATTGTTTGACTTGTGGAGATTTTATGGTTTTCATTTTGATAATTTAAATTATTAATGTGTAGAACTCGTTAAGTACTATATATTTAAAAAAATTATTTTAATTGAATATCGATAGTTATGTGATCAAATCAGTTTTGTATAAAAAAATGAACGGTGAATAAATTAGCGGTTAACAAAAACTGATAAGATGAGATAGTTATCTATATCCGATCAAAGTGATTTTTTATAGCCATATAGTACTCGATAAGTTCTACCCATTAAACGGTTTGAATTATCAAAACGGAACTCGTGACGGATTCCCATGGGCCGAACAACACTATCCAATCCGATTAAGAACGGGAGGTAAACTGCTTCCATATATATATATATATATATATATATTTTCCGTTGGTGCAATTTACAATAAATTATTAAATTATTCATTTTATAACTCTCAATATGTATTATTCGTAAAAAAAATTAAGTTGGTTAAATAATTATAATTTTTTCATTTTATTGTGTTTATTGCTAAAAAATATAAATAATTTATTTTCAAAAATATATTTGTTCCCTATTTTTTCAAAAATAAAGCAATAAAATAAAAATACTATGATTATCGGATCAATTTATTTTTTTTACGAATGATATATATTAAGAGTTCTATAAAATGAACCATTCTTATAATTAAAACAAGACTTGTAGTTGGCCCTACAAGCCTCTCAAGCACTCTCATGTTAAAATGTGAACAAGAGAGATGTTCAATCCTTTCTATAATTTTTTTTTTATTTTTTAAGCAAGTTTAAATTAAATGATACTATGAATTTTTTTAAAAAGTTAGTTAAAAGTTATTTTTTGAATTTTTAATTTTTTTTTGAAAAAACATGTAAAAAAAATATAAAGATAATATAATCCAAAATAAGTTAAAAATTAAAAGATGACTTTTAATTATTTTCTCAAAAAGGCCTATATAGCCCGGTTTTGTTCGCACATTAATTGGTGAAACAAAAATATTAAAGACTGTAAAAAAAAAAAAATAGCATTGCAGTTAGGTTAATATATTTTTTAAATATAAAACTTATTATTTTAGACCAATTAAAATTTACGTAGTATTATGTAAACAAAATTATTTTCACTGATTTCGTTTGGCATGTTAAAAAGTCTAATTTTTTTGACTATTTTAACTAAAAAAGATAAAATAAGCTAAAAAATTAATAAGATAAAATGTCACATTCAAATTATAATTATTTTATTTTTTAACCTAAAAAAATAAAAAAAATCAAAAAACTTATCTCAAACGAGACTTTTTAATCCCAAACTAAGATGATCAAAAAGTCAACTTACTTTCCAAATGAACCCTAATTTATGAGCCATGCTTTAATAAAAAGGCCATCGATGGTAATATATTTAGCAAACTTATTCTCTTAGGCTTAATTTATTTTTTTTCCTTTTTTGTGAAAAGCCAAATGAAAATAAAAATAAAATAAAGTATAGAAGAGTAATATTATAGCAGCATCTCGAACGAATCCAGTATATATCACTCTAAAAAAATGATGGACACGTGGATGATCGCACAATTCCGGGCATGCTAACTGCTGACGCATGCACTTACGACTGAAGATGTTTAAGTGGTCCTACTTCTAGTTGGCGAAATTGTAAATAAGAGAAAAATTTTAAATAATTGCATAAGTGGGGTTTATTTTTTTGGTATGTAAATTGACACACTGAAAAAATTTATATTAAACACATAAAAAAATATATATATATATATAAAAACTTATACCATATGCGGGAAGAGACGTAAATCATTATGAAAATAAAATTATTTTTCGTAATTGAACGGAAATTCAAATTTTCCATTCTACTTTTCCAGTAAACTCTGAAGCACTTTTTCGGATACTGTACGACAGTCTCACTAGATCATACAAGTCAACTCTGCTTTTGCTCTCAACCACTATTTCAAGAAGGAGAGTTAGAATTTATGGAAATCTTTGGTGAACCATACATTCATGAAAATTGTTTGATAGTTTGAATTTATGTAGTTTAAATGGTTCGAATGTATAAAAACGACGTTGTTTTAAAACATTCAAACCATTCATATCATGAAAATTCAAACTACCAAGCATTGTTGATACATTCATCTCTGTTAACATAATAATACTACTGAGGAAGTGGGCATTTTAGTAACTTTCACATTTGAGACTAAAAAAAGCTATCTTGTGTAGAGTCCTGAGTTCATGCCTTTTATCATTATTCCACAATTTTTCATATTACTAACTTTAATCTCAGTGAACCCATCAACTTTCCATGGAGAGAAAGACCTAATCACCCAGAACCTGACTGTCACAAAGCAAATTGCTTTGTTTGGGAGGTGAAATTTTGAACACAAGGCACGTGAATGTTGGGCTTGACTCTACAAACATAGAGGTCACATGGTAAAGCTTCACTTGGTCCGCTCTATAAAACTGCCAAGCCACGTTGGTTCTTAATGAGTAGTAGCACTCGTAACGTTATTGAAAGATTTTGTCTATAATGAGAATCTGTCCCTAAAAACCAGTAAAGTGGTCACAACAGAGAGAATCTGTCCCTAAAAACCAGTAAAGAAATCGGATACAATTAGAGGGTGGAGTCACCCACCGTGTTTTTCAAAGTGCCATTTGGTCATCCAACAATTGTCCATATGGCATTAGTGGTTTGTTCTGTGATAGCTTGATATATATTATTGATTCTATTTCTGAACATTTCAAGCGTTTGAGACAATTTGTGACTTAACAATTTCATCTTGCAGGATCAATCGTGCACACCTCATATGCTCATCAAGTTCATATTTCTGTGGAGGATTCGTCCCTCCACAATTGGTAATATTGATGAGTACTTCATGTACTTTACGTTCTTTTTTCTTTTTCTTTTTCTTTTTCTTTTGTTGCTGATTTTGCTCAATTTCATTCAATAATTGTAGCCCTTCATGTTTGTTGAAAACGGGGTCACTCAATATGAATCTTGAGCTTTTGTTGAAACAAAAAGATAAAGAAGCCAAAATCCATAACCAAACTTTTATATGTTGTCTTTCTTTTAAGGCCTTCAGCCCAATGTCCCAGAAACAGAAAAATTTGATTTCTGAGAGTTCGATAATTGGGAGCCAACAAGGCAAGTTTTTTCATTTAAGAGTGCAGAAACATAATTCTATAATATACACAAGTATCGCTAATATAAAGAAACTGTACTCTGACTTAGATAGGTTTTAACAAAGTTCAGCAATCTCATTCCTCATTTCTGTGCATTAGCATTTCATCAGCACTGGTTATATTGTCTACTGGTAAGGAGTAACACATGCTTATCAAAGGAACAACAAATTTGTGTTCCTTGCAATGGAAAAGAATTGTTGAAGCTCACTAAAAATAAGGTGATGATCAAACGCGACTCACAAAGAAAACAAACATAAGATTCAGAAGAAATCAATCTCTAAATAATTACCTGAAGGCTTCACATCAACGCCTGGCACTTTCTCTGCTGTCATATTAGCCTTCTGCATATCATTTCTTGCAGACAAGTCCATCATGAACGGTTTTGGAACATCCGGTGGATTTGTGCAACGAATGAGCGCCCAATTCACACTCTGGAAAAATGGATGCTGTTTGACTTCAGTGGCCCCCCGTCTATATGCAAGGCGATGCTGTGGTTCTTTCACGAGTAAACCTCTGATCAAGTCCCTAGCAGCAAAACTCACAGTAGGAGACTCAGGAAATCTTAAGGGTTGTCCAACCACGTTGAACAAAGTAGCACGATTCCCCGCGCCTTTGAAAGGAGTTTTTCCAAACAAGAGCTCATAGAGAAAGATCCCAAACGTCCACCAATCGACAGCACTTCCATGGCCTTCGCCTTTTATAATTTCAGGCGCTAAATACTCGTGTGTACCCACAAAGGACATTGATCGAGCGCTTGTGGGTTCAGCAATGAGCTCAGGGAGAGGGCACGCTTGATGATATATTTCGGGCTTTGGTTTCGGTTTGGTCTTCTTTTCTTTCCTTGACTTGTTAAAGAAACGTGGTGCAAAACATGCGGGTTGGATGCAAGCTGGCTGGATTACACAGGATGGCTCGATACAAGCGGGCTGAACACAGTATGCTGAATTCTTGGATTCAAATGTCGAGTTTGAGGATTTGACTAGGGTTGGGCTGACAGCACATCTTAGGGAAAGGTCAAAATCCGAAAGCATTATATGCCCGTCTTCTCTCACTAAAACATTCTCTGGTTTGAGGTCCCTGTAAATGATTCCAAGCATGTGCAAATACTCCAAAGCTAGGAGAACTTCTGCCACATAAAACCTACACAATGATTCAGAGGTTATTGTGATGAAATTATCACTTGCTTTCTTCATATCAATTATTCTCATACCATTCTGATTCAAAGAAAATCTTTCTATAAGTGAGTCATGGATTTGATATATTCAGATTCTAAAAATAAAAACCATAACATGAGTCAAATTCTGTATCAATGAAAATGCAAAATAAACAAACTAAATAGAATTCTTTAACTAATATAATGCACGGAAATGGAGAGATTAATTTCCTGGATTCATGAACTTCCAATTTGCAGGCAAGACCCTCATGCCGCATATAATGCACTTGCATGAAAATACAAATAAGCAACCAAGTTAACAAGTTCTACCAGCTCTTCAACTATTTTAATTCATTTCTCAAAAGGCTATTTTAGCACATAAACTCCTCTGACAAAGGTCCATTGAGATTATTAAGTCATAAAAATATATCCCTCAAGTGAATTGGATCTACTAGTCTTCATATAGAAAAAATAACAAACCAGAAAGCTCTTCCAGGTAGGAGTAACATAGAAAAAAATAGATTATTTATTGCAGACACACTAAAATTAAATTGGCAATTAACAGATTTCACAAATCAAATGTTCCAATTATGTTGTTTCAATCACCAAAACAAAAAGCAAAGGAAGGAGGTTAGGGGGAGGATTCCTAACCTGGCAGCGTGCTCTGGAAAATACTTTCCAGGTTGTCTTTGCCGGAGTGCATGCAAATCACCCCCAGTACAGAACTCCATCACCAAGCAAGTGAACTTCTCTGTCTCGAAATGTGTATACAAAGTGGGCAGAAATGGATGATCCAAGGATTGTAATATCTCTCTTTCTGTTTGCGCCCTCACAAGCTTCTTCCGACTTGCTAGAGCTGCTTTATCCATAACTTTCATGGCAAAATAACTTCTCGTGCCAGTCAACTCAGACAGATAAACACTGCCTATATCACCACATCCCAATCTTTTCAACAGCCTAAAATGGTTAAATCCAAGACCCCCATCACGAGATCTGATGATTTTAATTGCTTCCCATCTTGTATCATTTGACTTGTGGGGTTTGTACAGAGTACTGCTTAAACTGCTTGAGCTGCTCTCATCGCTAACATCACTGCCAGTACTGCCTCTGTAAATACTTGTCTTCCTACTCTCAACAAAATCTCCCGAGTTGGAAACTTCACCACTTTCAGCAGACTTCTCGACACTGCTTGCACATTCACTCAGTTCTGTGTTGGTGAAACTTTGTTTGGCTTCCATGTACTGCGTACCAGAATAGAAACTGTTTTGAGGACTTGGACAGAAGCTAATTCCCGATTGAGTTGTCACATGGCTGGTTAATTGACCAGCTAAACCTCCTTTATGTTGGTTTGAAACAAAGTTCATTGGTTCCAACAAGCTTTTTGAATTACCATTCTCTGATTCATCAACAGAATTGCTCGTGCAAGATATGGTTTCTGATGTTGAAACCTGTTTCTGACTCAAAATTTCCACTGTATCAAGAACGTTATTTGGACCCACAAATTCCAATTTTGCCTTGTTTGGTTTGTAATGGGGTTGTGATGAATTGGGTAGTCCTTTTTCCATGTGGTCATGGGTTGTTTTATATGAAAGCTTTGAATGAAGTACAGAATCCATCGGAAAGCAGGCTTCCTTCATCCCATGATCCGCAGCAGCGGTTCCACAGGATGCAGAGGAAGCCCCGGACGGTTTGACAGATGGCAGATGAGGACTAATCACCGAGGCAGAAGAAGGGTTGTAGCCTAATGCAGATGCAGAATTCTGATTTTGTGAGAAAGAACCAATTCCATCAACAAGCGGCTCCATTGGAGTAATTTTGCAAAGGCACTGTCACATCACAATCCAATTGAACAAGTCACACCCCTAAAACAAAGCGATCATTTTCATAATACTCAACCTCTAAAGATTAACGTAATGTCATGGTTTACACAATCATCAAAGCAAAGAAATTGAAGCAAATGCGTGTGTTTGAGAACACTCAATACACAAATCAAATCAAATCAAATTCAATGAATCTGAAGTCCATTGGATAAAATCGCCAAGGTCATGTACACTTAAAGAAACATCACAATGATTACGGAGGCAACAACAAAACATGTAACGTGATTCACAATCATACACCTTTTATATAAAATAAATAAATATCTTAAAATCACAAAAAAACCCCCAGAAATTCAGACTGCTTTCACGGTTGAAAATCAACAAGTAAAGGACCACCGTTTGATCACTGAGAGAAAAGGTAGGAAAAGGAAAGAAAGCTTGGGGATCCTGTAACAGGTGAGGAGCGCTTTTTTTTTTTCCCTTTCAGACGCTTTCTCAGTAACCAAACAGACTGGCAAGAAAGAGTAAAGAAGAAAAAAAACAAAAGATAATTTTCACCTGATTAGAGGATGAGGAAGCGATCTTTCATGACTGCTGATGAAGGAAGTGAAAGTGAGAAGACCCTCTTCAACCCAATAACTTACAAGACTCAGAAAAGAAGTCAGAGAAAGTGAAAGAACTTTGAGTCCCTTTCAGATCCGATCGAAGCAGAGAGAGAGAGAGAGAGAGAGAGAGTTAAGAGAGTGAGAGAGAAAGAGGGGGAGGAAAAAAATAATAATCCCACTGAAATTTTCATTTAAATTTCGTCGTTTAATGGGTTGGAACTTGGGATTATTATTAAGAAAGAAAAGAAAAGAAAAGAAAAGAAAAGAAAAATCTCTCTGGTGTGTGTGTGTTTGTTTTCTCTGTTTGGGCCATTAATAAGGCTCACAAGCAAAGCAAACGCACAAACCAAAGAAAAGAAAAAGCTTAAAAAGCCGTCTTTCTCTCTGGAGGTTCCCTCTCTTCCAAGTCCCTCTCCTCCTCTCCTTTCTTGTTTCCACACTTCTATTTTTTTCTCTCCATAAAAAAAGTTTTATATTTTTTTTTTGAGAGAGAGAAGAGAAAGAGACCTCAACTCATCTCTCAACTTTGATACATGGGGTGCTCCTCTCCATCCACCGCTCCTCCCTTCCTCTTTTTATTTTTTATTTTTTTATTTACATCCCGACCCTTTCAATTATATATTTTAACCGTTACAAATATAAAAATATATTATTTTTATCCCTCTAAAAAGGATGTATTTGTATAATTTTATAGTTAAGATGTCAATATATACATGTTCATAAGAAGTAAGATGATATTTATTAATAATTAAGATCATCTCCAATCTAACACCAAATGTTTCATCGAATAAATTTGATGAAAAAATTCACATTTTGCTGCTCCAATCCAGCACCAAATGTTTCATCAAATCTAGGATCTCTCAAAATTTTCATCAAATTGAGGATAGACTTGTTTTTCATCAAATTACTGTTCATAGCCATTGGAACTACATGTTATTTGCACCACCAGACAACTGGCCGATTGTCCCTCAAATGACCACCTCCTTGTAAAAATTTGTAAAAAAATTACACTGACTGGTTGTCCTCCCCCGATCGTCCTCCCAATCAATTGGTAGTTTAATGAAATTTCAAATCATTCTATTAGAATGCGCGATATCAAATCAAGCTTTTTTTTTTTTTTATCAAATTTAAATAAAATTTGATGAAAATTTTGAGTAAAGTGTTGGAGATACTCTGAGAAGGTCTTAATGTAATTAATCTTCTTTTTTTTTTTTTCCAATAAGAATGAAGTACAAAAATTTAGAGTGGGAATATTGAATGTGGAATTACCAATTTCTAAGAAAAAATTATATATGTTTATAAAATAATATTTAACAATTTTAAAAGTTATACAATTATGAAAATCTTGACAATCCAACTATCAATATTTAGATTTTTCTTTTTTGGCGGGGGGTATAGTAATGATTTTTACGTTAAATCTATAAAAAAATTAAAAAAATTAATTTCTACGTGATTGTGTAATTTCAGATTCGGTTAGATTATTATAGAAACACCTAATAACTTCTTTTATCTATAGACATTAAGAGGCCTAATGTCTTTTCCATATAGAGAGATAGGATGTGGTGAGGGAAGCTTCTACACCTTAATTATTTTTTTAGATTGAGATTTTTGTAACTTATGAAATAAATTCTTATGGGAAGAATTGTTTTGGGTGTATTTATAGCACCTTCCTAAGGTGAGATGTAGGATAAATTGCAAGTACAGTGGCCTTCTCATCATGAAGGTCACAAGTGATGGGTGAACATGGTTTATTGGTGAGTTGGATTTCACATAGGATGCATGTTGTTTACCCACTTCAATTTTACCATACCAATTTCACCAAAACAATCTCTGATTTATATTTTAAAATATACTTATTATTTATTTTTTAAAATAAATTTAATAAAATAATTTTTTTTTAATTATCAGATCAATTTAAATTTTTTTTATGAATGATTTGTCCTATAACATAAGTAGTTTGGATTATCGAAACAGGACTTATGCACCTTTAAGTTACATTTCATCTACTTTTTCTTTTTAAATTTATAATCAAATCTATAATTCAAATACAGTATAAAACATAATTATACTTTTTATAACTAATTTTATATTTTGATTCTATCTTCTTAAAATTAGTGATTCAGGTGAATCTCAAACATTGAAAAGGTGAATTACAATCGTTAATGCAAAAATTGACCATTCCGAGACTTGATTCCCAAATTCCCTAGTAATAATAAAAGTGATCACATGGGGTTAAGTAACCTCACCCCAATTTTCATTTACTAAAAGGTTCGTGGGAGCGGGGAGGCCTCACATGCCTGCACGTGACACCATCGCATGTGCACCAACACAAACCATTCAAAACTCCAAAACAAAACAAAACAAAATAAATAAATAACAAAAGTTAGTAAATACTATATAGGTCAATGATTCTTTTTTTAGCCATATGTATAAATATATATATATAATAATTTAGGCACTCCTCTTTCTAATAACTTCCGTCCAAAATTAACAATAGTGTCATACAAAAGACAAACTGAATCCTTAAAAAAAAAAAAATACAAAACAAAACAAAAAATCGAAACATACAATACATTTATTACTAAATTTAATACATATTTTAATATTTTTAAAATATTTTTTACATACGGCCTAACAGTAAACAATGTCTAAAGTGCATTTATTAGCATTTACTAATTAAAAAATAAAAATTATTTATAAATTTAATATATTCTTCACATATTTTAAAATATTACAAAAAAAATTAGAGTTTAATTATTGTAATAAATAAAATAAATTTTTAATTTTTAATTTTATCAATTTAAATTATAATATTTTAATTTATTTTCAGTCTAAACTATAAATCTATTTCTGTTAAATAAAATCAATGATAAAAATGATATTTTTATCATTAACTAATGTAAGTTTACATAAAATACTTAAAATATCTTTTTTATTGAATTTAATGACTAAAATGATTTTTTTTCTATAGATTTTACTTAACAAAAATAGATAGTTTAGATTATAAATTTAGAATTTAAATTAGCAAAATTAAAAACTCAATATTTATTTTCTAACTAATGTCAAATCTTAAGATTTTTTTTTTTATAATTTCCCTACTAGTTTTACATAATTTTATTCATTTTTGTACCCATTATATATATGGGTAAATTACACTAACAGTTCTTATAATTTGGGATTTGTGTCACTTCACTTTCAGACTTTTCAATTATGATACATTTAACTCTAAATTTTAAATGTTATTCTAAATAAAAACAATAAAAGATGTTTCCTTTGCAAACGATCCATTTTATGCGTAAAGTCGTCATATAACTTATTTTGTGTTAGTTAATTTATATGTTCTTTAAAATGTAATAGCCTTTTTTTTTTAATGAATAATATTGAAATTTTTTTGATTATAAAATTTTACTTGGTTTGATTTTAAAATCTATTTTCAGAAATTTTTTCAAAGACACTAAAATTTAATTTGGTGAGAAAATTAAAGACACATCATATATATATAATTTTATATTTTAGAAGGGTAGAAATAATTTTTTTGATATTTATTTTCGTTAAATTAATTTTTATTTTTTCAAAAATCAAATATGGTGACAATTTTAATATCATTATTAAATCAATCCATGAAATCAAAAAATTTAAAACTAAAAATATTACATATATTAAACATATTGATTACATATTAAAAGCCTAATAATCATCTATTATATGATAACTATCCAAAAATATTACTAAAATCAACCATTCATTACATGATTATCATTCAAATACATACTGAAAATTAATTTGGTAAAAAAATAAAAATATAAAAGATTTTTCTTTTTTTATATAATTTTATTGTTGGTAATTAGAAATAATTTTTTGATATTTATTTTTGTCAAACTAATTTATATTTTATCAAATTAACGACTTAGAAATAATTTTTTGATATTTATTTTTGTCAAACTAGTTTATATTTTACTAAATTAACAACTTTCACATTAAAATTGAGCAACAGTTTCTTTAATTATCCTTATTTAAAACGACATTCAAAATTTAAAATCAAATATATTATAATTAAAAAATCAAAAACGAAAATGATACAAATCTCAAACCACAAAAACTAACAGTTAGTTTAATTCGCCTTTTATATATTTTTAAATATTGTAATATTTTGAAAAGATAATTAAAAGCTGATTTTTTAATTTTTTTTAATTTTTTAATTTTTTTTTAAAAAAAAAGAAAAGAAGTAGGTGAAAAGCTCAAAATACCCATCACCCGCAATAAGGTTATATGCTTTTAATAATTTTCCTTAATAATGTTGTCGATAGGGGTATTATTGTCCTTTTAGACAGAGGCGGCCAAATCATTAAATCCCCAAAATGAGTCATGAGACATGTGGGGCAGCCTGCCATGCTGGAGGGACCCACACCACCTGCAATTGAGTTCAGGTGGGGCCCACCAAAAGCTCTTCGGTCTCGGGAGAGAGTATACGAAAGCGGTACATGGTAGTAGTAGTTACGTAGACTTCTCATTAGACCGTTGATGGTGATTGTGGAACTCAGTGACCTATCGTGTGTGTTTGGGTCCATTTGGCCTCACCTGAGTTGACCGAGAGAGAATTTACTCAAATCAGACGATGGATTAGAGGCTGATTGGATTTGGAGTTTGGGGATGAATAATGCTAAAGACCCCAAATATTTTACTAAAAATTTTATTAAATGTGTGGGACTCACACAATGTAGATTCTATGTGGGTTCCACACCCATGTGAGACATTTGATAGAATTTTTGGGACCTCTAACATTTTTGGTTTGGGGATTTGTCATTTTAGATCTCTGATTGGTTGTGTTGACACGTGGCCTGATGGGTATGGATGTTTGGAGACAGGGTCCAAAGATCTGGGGACCACTGTAACCAAATGCAGTGGACATTGGTGAGCAATCATTTTTGGTGTGTGTGTGCGCGCGCAATGTATGATATCATTTTTATCGTGCTAGTCTTTGTTGGAATTGGGTATTAACATGTTGACGACTTTACCCGACCAAACCCATATACAAATAATTGAGTGCTCTTCGAATAATAATTATTAATTATTAACACTATTTAAATTAGGATGCTTGTTATTTATTTATTATTATTATTATTGTTTTTTTTTTGTTGGGGAGCTCATTCCGCTCCGGTTGTTAAAAATTTATTTAAGATTAAGAGATTATTTGGAATACGCTATAAAAGTACATTTATTTATTTATTTTTTATATTTTTTGAGTTACATTATTTTTTTTAAAATATATTTTTATAAAAAATCAAAAAATATATCAGTTCAAACAATCCGTAACTCTTTATGTAAATAAACAAAATCTGAGTACAAATTTTAAATATATTTTTCACCTCTTATTAACAATCTATTGGATTAGAAGTAGTATCTCTTCATAAAAAGTTTCTATAAATTCTATCAATCTTTTTGCAAAGTTTCATAGGGAGG